GGGCGCCGCCGCCGCCCGCTCCGCGTCGTCGCTGCTCGACGACGCGGACGACAGCGGCGACTCGACGGCGTCGAAGCCGGGCTTTTGCGGCGCCGCGGCCCCGGGCTCCTCGACCTGGAAGTCGAAGTCGCCGCCGGCGTCGTCGAAGACGATGGTCAGCTCGACGAGCTCGCCGTCGAACCCGTAGACCTCCATGGCCACGACGGGGCCCCGCTCCTTCTCAGCAGGGTCGCATGCCGCCGGGACGGCCCGCGGGCTCGAGAGCGGCGCCCGCGGGCTCGTCCGCGGGCCGAGCTCACCCGTGTCACCGGCCTGCGCCGTCGCGCCGAGAGCGCACCGGGCGCGGGGGCCGCGAGGCTGCGCAGGGGCAGGAGAAAATTGTGTGAAGTAGTTCCCACACAAAGAGCGGTGTCGAGTTGGTGTCGGGGCAGCCTTGGTGGTTTTTGAAGCTCGCGAAAATTATATCAACGTCGGCCGCAGCATCCTTTGTATTTGGCGAACTTGCAGTGGCATTTGCCTCTGCAGCTGAGCTGTGCGAGCTTGGCGCCGCGGCGCGGCCTCGTTGCAATGGCCAGCAAGCTCGCGGCCGACATCGTCAAGGTCGGCGCCGTTCGGCTGCGCGGCGCCGCGCATCGGCCGGCGCCGAGCCTCTTCTACATGCCGGGCCTCGCGTCCCGCGCCGACTGGGGCGGCGCCGCCGGCCTCGAGCGCCGCGGCTTCGCGGAGCTCGCCGCCGCCGTGCGGCGCATGGAGGCGAGCGCCGACTGGCTGCGCGACGAGTACGCGGCGGCCAAGGCCGCGCGGGCGCGCGACGGCCGCGGCGCGAGCGACTACGCGGACGGCGGCGAGCACGGCCTCCACGGCGGCGACTGGAACTGGCTGACCTACGTCGACAAGGGCGCGGTCTCCGAGGCCTTCGCGCGCGAGGCGCCCGTCACGGCCCAGCTGCTCGCGAGCGTGCCGCGGCTCATGACGGAGTCGCCGTTCGGCTTCGCGTTCTTCTCCGCGCTCGGCCCCGGCGCGGAGATCCGGCCGCACTGCTCGCCGATGAACCTGCGGGTCCGCGTGCACGTGCCCCTCGTCGTGCCGAAAGGCGACGTCGGCCTCGGCCTCGCGGGCGGCGAGCTGCGCTGGGAGCCGGGCAAGGCCCTCGTCTTCGACGACTCCTACGTCCACCACGTCTGGAACCGCGGCGACGGCGACCGCGTCCTCCTGCTCTTCGACGTCTGGCACCCGGACCTCCACGACGAGGAGATCGAGGCCATCAAGGCCATGTTCGCGCCCGACCGAGGGTCGTAAAAAAGGGCAGCACCTTGCATGCAGCATCAAAATTGTATGTCACAGTGTTTCGTAAGTGTCAAACGTATGATGCCGGCGTCGCTGAGCCCGCAGGCCTCCGAGTCGCTGCGCAAGCTCGGCGTGTCCATGGTGCTCTTCTTCGGCTCCGCGGGCTGCGTGCAGGTCGCGGCGGCGCGCGTCGGCGCGTCGCGGCGCGTGCGCGGCCTCGTCGCCCGGCTCGAGGCCGGCGGCTCGGCGAGCGGCCTCGAGCGCTGCGTCGTCTTCGCGACGCACGGCGAGGTGCTCGGCGCGCGCGGCACGCGCGGCGCGACGGAGCGGCCCGCGCCGTCGGCGCTCCGTTTTTTGGGCTGCCTCGGGGGCCTCGTGGGCTGCTTCCTCGTCTGGGGCGTGCTGCAGGAGCGGATGATGACGACGGCCTACGACGGCGAAAAGTTCGCGACGTCGTCCGTGCTCGTCTTCGCCAACAAGGCCTTCGCCGCGGCGGCGGCGCTCCTGCTCTGGGCGCCCTGGCGCGAAAAGCGCGCGCCCGCGTGCGCGTACAAGCCGCTGCCGTTCGTCGCCTTCACCTGGGTCGCCGTGTCGAACACGCTGAGCTCCTGGGCACAGCTCGAGGCGCTCAAGTTCGTGTCCTTCCCGACGCAGGTGCTCGCCAAGGCGAGCAAGCTCATCCCGGCGCTCGCCGTGGGCCGCCTCGTCAACGGGTCGCGCTACGGCGCCGCGGACTACGGCGTCGCGGCGGCCATCACCGGCGGCACGGCGCTCTTCATGCTCGCCCAGGCCGAGGACCCGGGCGCGGGCCCCGCCAACGACGACGCCGGCGGGCTCCTCATGCTCGGCGCGTACCTCCTCTTCGACAGCGCGACGGGGCCGCTGCAGGCGCGGTTCTACGGAGAGCACGGCGCGGACAAGTACGCGATGATGTTCGGCGTCGGGTTTTTTAGCACGCTGCTCAGCGGGCTGGAGCTCGCCCAGTCGGGCGACGCGCCGGCGGCCTGGGCCTTCTTCGCGCGGCACCCGGCCGCGCTCCCGGATCTGGCGGTGCTGAGCCTCGCGTCGACGGCGGGCCAGGTCGTCATATACACGACGCTCGAGCTCTACGGCAACGTCACCTTCACGGTCATGATGATCGTGCGCCAGATCGTGTCCATCCTCGTGTCCTGCTACCGCTTCGGCCACGTCATCGCGCCGCGCGCGTGGCTCGGCGTCGTCGTCGTCTTCGCGGCGACGGCCTTCAAGGCCACCCGGTCTTCGAGGCGCGCGCCGGCGAAGAAGGTCGACCCGCCGGTTGCGACCGCGGCCGCGACGCCCCGCCGGTCCTCGCGCCTCGCGGCGAAACGGAACGGGTCCTAACACCGCGCGAGCGCCGCGCGCCACTCCGAAACTGGCACGGCGAGGTCCTGGTTGATCCAGAAGCTGTAGAGCTCGGCGCTCGTGACCTGGGACACGTGGGCCGCACTCCGAGGGTCCGCCCGCCCGTCGAGCCACCGGTCCCGCTCGGCCGCCGTGCCCTCCCGGGCCGCGCGCGGCGCGTATTCCCAGTGGAACGTCGAAAGAGACCGGTTCGTCGCGCGCCACTCGACGTAGCGAAAGCCGCGCTGCGTCGCCATGGACGGGAAGGCGCCTACCGAGAGTCGGACGTCTTCCCGTGTCCCGGCGCGAATCGCGCGAAAAAAAGCACGCCCGTTCCTCGACGCGGGACGGCGCCGACGTAGCGCTCGCCGACTAAATACGGAAGGAGCTGGACGACGCAGACGTCGTCGCCGCGCCGCGGCAGGAACGCGACGTTGTTGAGGCCGCTCCCGTGGACGCCGGCGAGGACGTCGCAGCGCCCGAGGGCGTCGAGCTGCTCCTTCGTCGTCATGAGCTCCAGGGGCAGCGCGACGGCGCGGTGGCCGAGCGCCTCCGCCTCCGCGAGCAGCGCGGCCTCGTTGAGCACGAACCGCTTCCGCCGCCGGCTCAGGAGGCACACGGTCTTCGTCGCGCCGCGCGGCGCCGCGCCCAGCGGCGGCAGGCCCGCGGCGGACCGGAGCGCGTCGACGACGGGCGCCGGCCGCGGCGGCCGCGCGGCGCCGCGCGCGCGGCACGCGCACGCGGCCGCCCACGCGGCGTCGGACGCGGCGCGCGCGCAGTTGCCGCCGAGCGCCCCCAGCCAGGGCGCGAAGGCCGCGACGGGCGCCGCGCCGTCGCGGAAGATGACGTGCGGCGGGGCGGCGAGGTTCCGGCGCGGCAGGAGCGTCGCCTCGAACCACGCGTACCAGTGGTAGAGCATCTTCGCGTCCTCGGGCACGGCCAGCGGGCCGACGACGTCCGCGGTCACGGCGACGCCGCAGGACGACGCGCGCGTCCAGCGGCCGCCGACGAGCTGCTCGGCCGCCGTGCCCGCGGGGCACGCCGCCGTGCCGTTCGTCGCGCGGCGGACGCAGAGGCCGCGGCCGGCGTCGTAGGCGCAGAGCTCGTCGCCCGCGCAGCGGCTCGCGGCGTGCACGGCGCACTTGTCCCGGAGCAGCGCGCAGGCCGCCGCGCCGCGGAGGCCGCCGTGGTCGACGCCGTAGGCCCGCGCCGGCGGCAGGACCGTCTCGAGCTGCCGCGCGCGAATCGCCTCCCGCGCGACGGGATCGTCGACGCCGAGGGCCTGCCAGTCGTGGAAGAGGTCGTGCCAGTCCGCGCGGCGCTCGAGGAAGGCGCGCACGAAGCCCGGTGGTTCCTCTTTTTCTATGGGTGCCGTCGATGGCTTTTCTTCCTCCGGTGGTGAGTTGCGGTGGAGCAGCGCGAAGCAGCCCACGTAGAGCACGACGATGCCCGTGAGGCATTTCGGCAGCCGCTGCTGGGTCTGGCGCTTGCCCTTGAGCTGCATTTTGTTTCTAGGCTGTCATGGCCGCGTCATGCGTGAGGCTGCGGTTCGGGTTGCGGCAGCCCCATCGTGTGCTGCAACATCCGGCTTCTTGCACAGGCAACATCAGGCTTGTCGACATCGATGGCGACCTCCTTGACGCGTTCGGCGAGGCTCGCGACCGCGGCCATGCGCCCACGCTCGGTCGCGCGACGGCTGCGGCTCGTGACGATGCGCCCGCGCGCGGCCGCGCTGTCCACGGCCACGAGCGCCGACGGCACGCCCATCGCCTACGCGTCGACGGCCGGCGATCCGTCGAAGCCGCCGCTCGTGCTCATCCCCGGCTGGGGCGGCGTCGGCGCCGACTTCGCGCCCGTGCGCGACCTGCTCGCCGCCGGGCGGACGGTCGTGACCTTCGACCCGCGCGGCATGGGCGCGTCCGGCGCGCCCGCGGGCGGCGGCTACGGCGTCGAGGACCTCAAGGAGGACGCGCTCGCCGTCGCGCGCGCCGCGGGCTCCGTCGACGCGCCCGTCGACGTGCTCGGCCACTCGCTCGGCGGCCTCGTCGCCCAGGAGCTCGCCTTCTCCGCGCCGTCGGAGGTGCGCAAGGTCGTGCTCGCGTCGACGGCCCCCGGCGGCGACGACCTCAAGGGCCTGATCTCGCGCGACTTCTTCGACGTCCTGGACGCCTGGACCGACGAGGAGACCAGGGACGGCGAGCTCGCGCGGCGCCGCGCGGCCGCGGCCTACTACGTCCACGGGCTGCCCCAGGCGTTCGTCGAGGACCGCGTCGAGGACCTCAAGGCGCTCGTCGACGCCTTCGTCGACGGGGCCGCGCACGCGCGGACCGCGGCGGCCATCGCGGGCACGAAGCGCGCGGTCCTCTCGCCCTTCCCCGCGGCCGCGCGATTCGCGGGCCGCGACCGGCGGCCGACGCTCGTGCTCCACGGCGACGTCGACGCGATCGTCGACCCCTTCTGCGGCATGAAGCTCGCGGAGCACATCCCCGGCGCGAAGCTCCTCCTCCTCGCGGGCGTCGGCCACCACGCCTACACGCAGGAGCCCGACGAGTGGGCGCGGCTCGTCGCGGACTTCCTCGACGACGTCGAGCGCGAGCGGCCGCCGCCGCCGAACTTCGGCGCCCCGCCGCCGCAGATGCAGTAAGGGCGGTGGTGCAGATGGCTTGAGGCCGCGCGTCCTTTTTCATGATCGATCGCAGCGTTTTGGATCCTGGTCGATGGGCAAGGCCGCGCTGCAACATGGGGTCAACAGCGGCATCGTTCAGCGATGAAGCAGTCGACCAGCGGGGGGAGACGATTACAAAACTCGACTATGGCGTCGGCGCAATCGACGAGCGGCGATCTCGCCAAGGCCAAGCTCGAGGAGCTCTTCACGGCCTGGCTGTCGCTCGAGGAGACGGCGAACCGCGTGGACCACTGGCTCGAGCTGGGCGGCCGCGGCGAGCTCGAGGCGCCCGGCGAGGCGTCGTCGCTGAGCGCGCCGGCCGCGTCGCACCCGCGGCAACCCCCAGTTTTCATGACCCACTATGTTTCATAGGCGACCTCACGCGGAGCCGCTTCCCGCTGCAGAGCAGCCCGCTGGAGAACGCGGAGCCGCGGCGACCCGACGACTCCGAGAAGGCGCCGCCGTTCGAGGCGTTCGCGTCGCCGCGCCGCGAGGGCGACGTGTCGCCCGCGGCGTCCCCGCCGCCGAGCAGGCCGGTTCCGGCCGCGGCCCTCGCGCCGCTCCTGTCGAAGCGGCGGCTCCGGGAGCAGGACGGCGCGCTCGCGCGGGCCATGGCCGACCGCTGGGACAGGGCGACCCACGGCGACGAGACGATGCCCGCGGCGTCCTTCGCGGCCTTCAGCGCCGAGTGCGCGGACCTGCCGAGCGTCTGCGGCGCGCTGATGGCGCGGGCCTGCTGCGAGCGCCTCGACGGCGGCGGCGCGAGCCCCGCGTTGGTGGTTCGTAAAACCGCGTGGCTCGCGTACTGGCGCGAGCGCGTCGCCTGCGAGCACGACCCGCGCCTGCGGCTGTTCGCCGTGCTGGCGAAGCNGGGGCGCCCACTCCGTCGACGCCGAGGANTGGGCGCCGCTCC